TACAAACAATTATCATTAAAAATATGTAGACATAATAGCGATTCATTTCGTATCATTTTGTGTATTATTATTAAAAAGAGGGATTAAAGAATTGTAATTTATAATTTAACACTAATGAAGACTAAACAAGTTTGTGTTATGATATAGAGTAAGCTAATAAATTGCATGTAATTTATAGAACAATCTTTATTGTTCGAAATAAACCAAGTTAATGTTTAATTGTGATAAAATATCTCGTAAACTAATAATTCTTTGATAACTGCAATCTAACATTTTTAAACACAGAATGGCGAGATGATGAATCTTGAATTTTGAGGAATAACTATAATAATTCGCATAATCAAAAATCCAAAAAATCAGTATCTACTCATTGACATCCAAAAATATCACAATTTGAAGATTTTAGGGATGCATTGATCATATTTCATTCGCCATGTTGGATTTAATACCCCTCGCTCCGATAACTAAAAATTCATGTTAAGCGACAAAATCTCCCGTTTCTTGAACCTTGTGCAAAAATATTATTTAGAAATTGATCAAAAATTTAGCCATCATTGTGAATTTCAAAATTATGATTGTAAATTCGTATTTAGCAACCTTAAAAATCTTAATCGATGGAAACAGAAAAAAGTTTTAATCTTTTGTGCTTTGGCAATTGAAGTTTGTTTCAAAAATTCTTTGACGATAGCTCATTAAGGACTCCGCTGTAATCACCATTTTTAAGACATCAAAAACCATCAAAAAACAACCAAAATTCGATTCTACATATAAAAAGCTGAGTCCTTATGTCTATGAAGGATCAACCATTCATAAGCATTTGTAAACCGCTGACCAAAATTATATACACCAATGTCTACTAATGCTCAAATAATGCCCAATTTTAATGTTTTAATAATTTCCATTAATGCTCTAGTAATGCATAACTTCATAATATATATGCCTTATTATAATACATAATTTTCTTAAGTAATGCCTAATAATGTCCCAAATCTGTACACAATTTTGATCAACGGTTTATCCCTCAAATCCATATGTAACTTAATCATGTTAATAAAAACGAAAGAGATTTTTATTAACATGATTATGTTATATATATGGAGCATTTCATCTCAAAACGCAAATAATTCTGTCCATAAAAGGTTATTATATTTTTTTATATTTATGAGCTTGATTAAATTTTCGTATTTTTTATTATATTGTAATATTAACTTTCTTTTCTTAACTTCGCCAAGTTCAGAACTAATAATAACCGACGCTCGCAACATGGTTACTCACTGGCTCTGTAACTAGAGCGCATTGAGAAATCGTTTCTCGAAGCGCAATATGGTGCACAGGTGGAAACGTGTGAACCGGTCATTAGTTTGACCCAATGACCCGCAATTAACGCGTTCGCGCAAATCATAATGTGTGTAGGTTACACTTACCTAGCTCAACCTCTTGTTGACATTTATACGTACTTGCAGTAATAATTTTATCTAATATTGTCACGTAAAAAAACCGCAAGAGTAGAAAAATCGTACGATCGAAATAAATGCAAATACAAATTAATTATTGTTATTGTAAAAATTGTAAAAATTTACGCAAAAATAGTATTAATGTAAAGATTGAATACTAACGCAAGAATAGAATTAAGTCCGTTATTTCTTTGCTTATTTTTGTTATTATATTGATTATATTATTATTATTATATTAT